CATTTCACTGAATATGAAATTTAGATGAGAGAGAGAGACGCTCCATTTGTAAAATTCATCAGAGTAATTTTTATTATGTATACTCTAATAGTAATTTATATATAAAACCTTGTTGATTTTTTAGTAGTAGGAAAAATTTATTTTGATGTATATCAAATTTGTCCTTTCAACGTCACGTTGATGTAAGATGAAAAAATTCTCGCCACAAAATATATATATGTATAAAATGTACTATTACGTGTTTTATATGTCTACACTTATCTTACATTTACATGTTAAAAAGAGATTTTTTCGCCCGTATATTAGAGAGAATAATATTAAAGAAGAAAACCTCACGCAGGTGTAATTTTTAAATAACCTTTATTAAATTACCGGAGATTCTAAGAAAAAGAATAAAATGAATGGAAAGTTGCATTTTGCGAAATCACCTTTCCTTCAGTGTCGTTGTTTCAGATCAACGCGGGCCTTAATAAGGGGAGACTTAGTTCTGCGTCCCAGGTGGCACAACCCGGGCCCCTAGTAACAATTTATCGTCGAGCTCGACAAAGTTCCCGAGCCATTTAATCGAGACATAAATGTTAAATGCTCGCCGTCTCTCTCTTTTTTTTTTTTTTTTTTTTTACGTTCCGCGGAACGTTACGATTTTTTATACTCCTGAGCTTTGGTCCGCTCTCGGACACGGGGGTTTCGCAAATGGAAGTCTGGGGAAGGAATGCGCGATGCACTCGGAGGGTGCATTCCGTGCAACGTGATGGAAAAATACCGAGTAGAAATTATCACGGAGAAAACGACTCGATTCGCCATCGTTTTATGGCTCCATCGGCCATGTAATCGGATTTATAAGACGCCTCTATGTAATCTCTTTTCTTTCATTTCATATAAGAGAAGCGCAATTTTACTACGAAAATAAATTCTCCGTATCGACGATTGACTAGCAAAAATATTTTTATTTTTCACAAAAAAAAATATCAATATTTTATTCTAACAATATTTAATTCCTTTGGATATAAGAGATAATATATTACGCTGGTTAAATAACTCGACTGATCCTATTGTGTAAAACAATTTGTTGAAAGTTGCTATATATCTTAATTCAAGCTAACGTTGAGCTTTCGCGATCGGGAAAAACTTGACACAAAGGGAGCTCTAATTCTTTTTTTACAATCTTTCTCCTCGAGCTCACGGATCATTAAGAATTTTCCGGCGCAGGGACGCCGACTAATAGCATCGGCTGGATTACAAAGTTTTCGCCGGGAGTGGCGCACCTGAACACTTGCACCCCTTTCTCGCACAACCCTCTCGGGACGCAACCCTTCCTTCCCGCGAAGGAAAGTTTCTACCCCGCGAGGACGGACTTTTCGCGGCCTCGGCTCGGCTCGGGAGACCGTAAAGTTAAATATCGGGAGGAGAAAAGATGGGGTGGAAAAAATACCGCCGCCACGTAAATTGGCTTCGCCGCCGGAGGCTGTCGGTTAATCGCGTGAAGAGGTCGCGGCCGGAGCAACAGACAAACCGAGGAACAAATAAAGAACAAAGTTAAGATTCAATTCAACCGGAAGAAACAATCGAAGTTCCGGGACCGCGAGAACCGGGGGAAACCACGTTTTACAATTGTTTCAGCAAAGTCGAGAGAAATCCGGGGAGACGCAGGGATATTCTTTTTCTTTTCCTCGAAAGAGTGGCCTTCTCTCGGCTTAAGAAAGAAGGGAATAATAAAGTTGAGTCCTCTCGCAATATATGTGCTGTTTAAATATCTTGAAATATCTCAATCCCAATTGCGCACTCTTCGGAAATATAAAATGTAACTATACACATGCGCAATTTATTTATTTATGAAAGAACTAGCCACGAGAAATCTATTTAGTATATCGTAGTCGCTTCGAAAGCGGACACGGGATTTCAAGGCAATATACTTAATCCCTCTTGAGAAAGAAGCATTTGTCCGTTTTCCTCGAGAGAGCGACCTATCGGATTACACGCGCAGTAGAACAGGTCAATCTTTCGTCAGACTTCGGTGAAGCGCGCGCGTATATATGTTTCCGATCAATTTGTTCGCGTTAAAATTTTAAGAGACGTCGGTGACATTTCGTCAAGAACAGAAGCTATAATCAATCGTTGAATAAATCAGCTCGCAAGATTTAAATAAGACAATTTATACGATTGATTCGGCGTTAAAAATTTTTAACGACGAGACGTCGCCTAGAATTTTTTCTCGCTCTAGATATTGCAATCGAGAACGCGAATATATACGAATTTCTCCTCGATCGATGTCTTTTCGCATTCGACATTCTTACGTGAAACGGTTCTCATTCCCCGGCTATCTTTCGAGATAAATAAATGTCAGTTCGTACAACGGGATTTTCTTTACGACACAAATCATGTGATATATGCAGGGTGAATCTGAATAAGTGTAAACAATTTTGAAAGATGATTCTTTATCGAAAATTAAGGGGGCTTTCTTATAAATACTCTTATATTCCTCCCTTAGAAGTTAAAAATTAACTTTTTATTTTTTTTCAAATTTAAACGAAAAATATCCACCAAGTTTCATGTTTCTAATTTGTCTGAAATTTGAGAAAAAAATAAAAATTTCATTTTGAACTCCTCAGGGAGGGATATGCTTATATAAGAAACCCCTCTTAATTTTCGACAAAGAATCATCTAAAATCTTTCGTACTTATTTATATAATCTGTATATGTATAACATATATAGCATATCTCCGGGAACGGGTATTGAAGAATCTGTCCGACCACGACAGACCTCACGTGGGCTGGCTTCGACGCGAGTTAATCTTTCGAGCTGATTACAAGTCGCGGACACAAATCCAGTTCCACGGTAGCCGGAACCATCGTGTAAGCCTGCTTACGCAACCGAACACATATAACCGGCCAATCGTCGATTCGTAATCCGGGAATGTTTTCCGCCCGGTCCATTATCGGCTTAGCACGGCTCTGCCATCTCGTCGCCGATGCTCTCTTCGCTCCGACCTGATTCCGCACACGTTCGAGAAAAAACATAAAAAAAAACAAAAAAAAAGCGCCACCCTCTGTGTACCCGCGCGCATCCGGGTAAATCGATAGTGTTAAAGATAGTTTCCTCACACGCCACTCACATTTGCAATTCCTCCGGGACATTCGGAGAAAAGCAAAGAGCCTTTGTATCGAGATGGACTCGATGGTGCGGCGCAAATCCTATAGATATTTTCGCTATTTGAATAACTATGGTTTGCAAATTGCGTGTGTCTTTTTTCTCGATGGTTTTTTTAAGCAACCGGAAACGAGAGAAATCGATTATTCCGATGCGCTACGATTTGACATTCATCGAGCGTATATACTTTCATCAATTTAAATCTTTCGTTATATCGACGTTATATCATTAATATTATATAATAATTAGTGTGTGTAAGATGTAAGTGTGCAAACAAAATTAATAGAAAATTTTATTCGATATTGGATGTCATCTTTTTTATCAATACCCATGTAAGGGTGATGTTATTACTTTTTCGAGAACGCAAAGGCAACCTATTTTCACGTATTTATGAAAAAGGGGAAAAAGACATTATCATGTATGTATACCATCATGGAGAATATTATTCGAGAAATGTTATTGAGGATATTTAAAAATGTATGCCACTCAACTCGGATCGGAAGCACGGTTATCCTTTATTATGAATCCTTGGGGATAGACTCACCCTTCCTTAATGATGACCAATGATCTTTGTCCCTTTGTTTTCTTACCAAAAGAGAAACAGTGCGTATTAACACATCTTTTTTATGAAAACAAATTTTGTTTTCATGAACACGAAAATTCCGTGCAAAAATATATTGATCAAAATCGCCAATTACGATAAATTTAATTGTGTTTTTCTTTTAATTTTCGATTAAAAAGTATTACTTTTACAAATTGTAAAATTGAAGGTTCTCTATACAAAAATAAAAAACCTACATTAATTTTATTGTCAATCTGTAATATCGAAAACTCAATTATCTCTTCACGCTTTTTTCGTGCGCGCGTGTGAGTAACATTTACTGATTTTTAGTAAAAATTCGATTGTACATGAAAATTTCCATAAAATTTATTAACCTGACATTTAAAAATCGCTGCAATTTCCTGTATCAACCCTCGAGCGCATTTTCGATAACGAAGCGAAATGTCAATTCCGCCGCGAGTGCAATTAGCGTCTTACAAGTGTCGTGTAAAATGTATCGCGGCGATTCGCGATGGCCGCGCGAGGCAAAAGGAGATTATTCTATAACTTTAACAATCAATTATTTAGAATTCAGTTATCTCGGCGGAACGACCGGGCCGGTATATTCAATTTTAAAACTGCGCAAACAGTCGCCCGCAGTCGAGCGCGCTCGCAGACGACAAGCAAGCACTCAATATGTAAAACGCGATGTAACTTCCGGCCGCGGCCACAACTCTAGCGGATTAATCAAGCGGAATTCACGCCCGACTTGTAAACGTTGATCAAATATCCGCGAGCGAGTTAACGACCGCGGGATTGTCTGCGAAATTCAACTAATTCAACTCTGCGCGACATTTTTCGGCATCCCTCTCCCGTCGAAGTTAAATTACGTTAGAGAGCCCTTTCGGCATCCCCCGAAATTAAGGGCATATACTTTCTCCACGTTTGTAACACGCGAACCCGTGGGGTTTGTGTATACGTGCGCAAAAATCTTTTTCACAAGTTCCTTTTTTCCTTCTTTATTTACGATGCAATAAGCCCCAGTTTTTAAATCTGATCGAGAGTAAAAAATTCTCCAAAAAATGTCGTAAGCACTCCGCCACGTGCGGAGAGAGTCATGAAAAATTTCCATTTCGCTCTCTTCCAACACTCTTTCTGCACACGTACATATTTGAATATGTATATAATTCATCGTCGCATTACACGCGATACTGCATTCAGTACTCGACCGCTTTCAATATAAAACTGAAAGAAATAATAAATGGGTCGGCCTGGCAATGTTGTGTACCGGGTGATCCGTTGCGTGCTTACCTGATAAAGTATGTCGAGGGTGATCGGATAAAGCATGTGCTCCACGATGACTCGAAGAACCGTGTTGGGTCCGCCCTGGGTATCGCCGGCGCTGGCTACCTGATTCTGGCCGGGAATCGCAACCTGGTTATTCGAATTCTGTAACAAAGAACGAAAACGGAAACGAAATTAAGCGCTTTGAACGAACGAATCGATCGCGTGTTCATACAATAAATGTGTCGCCCGATAAGTTTTACCCTGAAGATACAAATTGCTCAAGTTCCACAAACGCGTAAATTCCATTCCAAGTGAGGTAATCTTTGTCGAAAGTAGAGAAACTTAATTGGTTCCATTGTATTTTCAGGACCTCGCGTGTAAGCAGATCATTCAAGGTTTGCTTTTATAACGAGTGATTTATTTACTGGCAAAAGTAATGATAATCATTTTATATATATATATATATAAATCGTTTGCAGTGTTTGCAAACTGAAAAGTATGTATTTTAAATAATAGTATATAATTTTATATTTTGTAATTTAAAAATTATAATATATTTATTTGTATAGAAAGTTGTTGTGTGCCTTTGAATAGTGAAATTCGACGATTTAAAGAATACATTATGAAAAACCTTACGACTTCGATGACACGATGCTTCTTCTTCACACGATAAGAAACAGATCATGAAAATTCTGTCTCGGCTTGTCTGCTGAGCGTGATGAAGCGGAATGGAAAATGATTTCTTTGAAGTGAGAGAGAGAGAGAGAGAGAGAGAGAAGAGAAAAAGCGAGCGTAGGGAGAAAACAACAAAGAGAAATGCGGGCGGGCAAACGAAAATAGATGCAAGAGTATTAAAATCGGACGCATACTGAGCGTAAAAACGAGGAGACATTATACTTTGTAAGTGAGAGCCGTATAATGAACGATGGCGCTGCTGGGTTATTAAAAGAAGTCGTGTCTTTCCGAGTCTCTCACCCGAGTGAAACACCCGGTACGTTCGGTCCTAATATTGAACTGGAAGATTGCGGAAAAAAGAAGTTGTTCAGCAACAGGAATCACGCGACTTTTCTACAGCAATCGCTCGATAACCGCATATTTAAATAAAGTATATTTTATTTTAATTTTTAAAATTACTCATCTCTACTTTTATTTAACATTTAATCATTTTAATACTTAATTATATTCCTTGTTTTTTTTTTTGAAAACAATTTGAATCAATATTCATGTATAGAAGCGCGAAACTTTGCTAAAGAAAATAAAACTTATTTTGCTGCGAATATTTTTTTCGGTAAATTTCGCAATTACTTTAAGAGCTGAATCATGTAAAAAACATGACAAAGCATTTCACGTTCGTTCCTCCTATCCTTCGCACGTGCGAAATGCGTCTGGCGTTACCGTCGCCGTTTTCATCAGCTGCCGCTGCCGGTAAAGCTGTCAAAGTGAACTTTAAGGAGTACGACGCGACGGGGCATTAGCATAAAATGCTAAAGAAACGCGCCACATTAGAATTTCGATGTAGATTAAAGCGCGGCGCCCGGCGAGGCTCCTAAATCTGACTTCGTAAAAATAACTTCTCTTCCCCCGAGCATCCTAACGAAATTTCCACCGCGACGTCGACAGAGCAAATCGTCTTCGCTTCCTAGTATTCGCGCAGAAGTGCTGGGATAATTCGATTCTCCGGATGTAAATAAACGAATTAATTTATTAATAGTTGTAGCAAATAAAGGCACATTTGCAAATAAATCCATTTAAAGACGATCAATTTTTACTGCATTAATGTACATCCAATAAATTATTATTATTATATAGCGGATACGAGAACATCAACTTTAACCGTGATCGAATTGAAGACGTAGAATTGTATCTCGATTATTTTACTGCGCAGCGAGCGCAACGATTGTTATTAGCTTTTATCGAAAGCCATTTCAAACAAATTTCAAACGCGAGATTGCTGTAAAGAATACACATGGCTTCGATGCAGGTAGCACTTTTCACGAAGCGGTATACAACATCTTTAATAGAGACATTCGATAAAAGCAATTCGGAATAACCGATAAACAAGCAGAAGACAAATATAGACTCGCAAAGCGAGGTTTCAAGAAGGAAAACGCAATCGCGGATATAAGCTATACTTAGAAGATGTTGTATTTAACCGCGCAATGTTTCGACCTGAAGAAGTACGACACGCTGAGAAGGGATATAAAAGCGAGATATAAAACCAAGCTACAAAACACGAATACAGTTCTGCAGCGACGAATGATAATCGCAACAATTCGGAAGAAATAACTCGAGCATTTTTCTTCTAAACGCGAGAGCTTATTTTGATTCTGTGTTTGATCATGTTTTTATATTGTATATGTTCAACAGATAGAAATATTTCAGAAAACATATTGAAAATCAATTTGTACTTTGTAGTTTTCAGGATACCTACTTTTAAAATTATTTAAGAGCAAGATAAAATTCATTTTCAATATTTATAATTAATAAAGTATTTAAGTATCACTTTAAAAATTACAAATAAAAAAAACCCTTTCAATTCTCAGATATCTTTCACATTTAAATTCTTTTAAAAAAGGAACGCTAATTATGAATTAATTATGAATGCTACAAATGTATTTTACCTCGGTCTCATTTTTCAACTAATATTCTTAACTATCGTTTTGCTTCTATTTTTGATAAAACGCGAGCTTTCATGCATAATTCGGTAGCATTTCGTTCCGCCGTACGTATATATATATTCGTTTAATTGCTACGTAAAGTAGATCGGGACATCGTCGCGAACCATCGGCGGAAACTACCGTCGACCGTATCTACTAATAATTTTACGAGCGATTTTATCGAAGTTCGCATCGTACGTTCGCGGTTTAGTCGAGTTTCCGCACGGATTCGAAGCGGTTTCCGGAGTTGACGAGGTCTAAACCTAAAATATTGCAGTTTCCAACTGTAAATGCGCTGCAAAATGATTTGCAGAAAAAAAAGGAAGATACATATATCGGAATTAATAATTGGAATAAAAATCGAATCAATCGACACAGAGACCAAAAGTTTATTAAAAGATGGTTTAAATAATCTCGAACGCGAAGGTAATTAAAATGAGTAAAGAGAGAGAGAGAGAGAGAGAGAGTCGTCCGAATTTCGCGCTTGTATAAATAATTCGCAGTAAATATATATGAACGAGTCGACTTCTCACTGTCGGAATTATTTTAACAGAAACTAGAAGCATAAAATGAAATGGCTCGGCAATCCATTTACATCGGATCGTTGTGACGTCTCTTCAGGACGAATAATATTCGAAAGACCGTCGCGCTTTCTTAAAAGGGGAAAAGGATTAATTTCAACATCGGATGAAAAAAGGGGGAAAGGAAGAGACGAAAGTTTTCCAAAGCCGTTAATTAATTAGCCTGACAAACGTTAACCGACGGCTGCCCATCCCATCGAATCCGCCGTAAAGGTGGCGTGTGACCGGCCTGTTTTATCCGAAAATTAATCCAAAAAGTTGCTCCTCAACCCTCCTTTCTATCGCATTCTCCTATCTTCGTTTCCCGCCTTTTTTTCTCCCGCGATGCCGATTCCACCCTTCAATTAGCGGCCCATAAATTCCTATGCGTGCGAAACATAAATTCGTTCCTCGCTCTCTTCCTCCAATTTTTCTCCCTTTTTCTCCCAAATAATTCTCGAGATCGCCTTCTTCTCCCGATGCAATCCTTTTTATCGGAACCATGCGTCTTCCGCGATATATCGGGAGATTCCTGGGAATCTCATCAAAGCCTCCGCGAAACCTAATTTTCATTCGTCGCTTATCAGGAAGCAAAAATAAAACGCTGAAGATGTAAAAGCGAACGAGCGAAAGTCGGAAAGTCGAGATCTATCCGGTACATCGTTCAGCGAATGAATTGCGCGCGTTAACTAATTATATATGCCAGGGAATAATATTTCGTCTCTTTCTCGCAATAAACAACGTCGCGGATTGGAGATAAATCTCTCGACTCTTATTCGCAAAGATTTAATGTTATTTTCCACGTTATATTCCGTCGCTCATCGACGTCGCTCCCGAGAATGCAGCATAAATTAATAACGAAGTTACAGTCGTCACATCATCTTATTTTAGCTGCGAATTATCTGAACGACCGAGTCGCGTGCATTTATATCGAAATGAGCAACCGTATGTACGTTCCTAAATATTTACTTATGTATATACATTATATATGTATGACGTGTATATTAATCAGTTCTCCTAATTAAAATTACAATATTACGGTCATATTAGAATTGTAGCGCACTGACTGAGTCGCGTGTTAATTTTAAATTTCCATCATTCTTGCGGAAAATTAATTATATTTCGCAGTATTCGCGTTATATAAATAAGATATATATAAATTAGAGATTTATGCGAATTGAATTACGCGCAACAGTTATGGATGCAAATGAATGTATATTAAATGAATAAAATAATATTTTACTGACAACTGCCAACGTAACTTATGTACACTCTTTCTCTCTATATTTTTCAATAAAATTAGCTTTTGTTTAACGAAACGTCATTGTAACGAAGAAGGATAGACATTTTCGTTCCAGTACCGAAGATTTCGATGGAGAGACGAAAGGATCTGCTCTTTCCCCGCCGCTTAGAGGGACTTAATTAACTGAATGTCGATAATAAAGTCACCATCTGCGAGCGGCCTGGAAGAGGCTCGATTAAAGCCGTCCTTTAAGCCGCCAAAGAAAGATCTTTAGAGAAGAGACCGAGAGAGGGAAAGTTTTCCAACCCGAAAACTACCGTTCTCGTTTGAAACTCCCACCGTGAAATAATAATCCTAATTATTGTTATCGTAACTCGTACAATAGAAACCCGAAGAGAAGTAACGGGTGGCTGCCTTCATCTTAACACAGGCTCGATAATATACAGGGTGTCTCAACTGTTGCGCGTTTTCAGCTCGTACAATTTTCGAATTATATAAATGATAAGATTTTAAAAAATTCATTGTTGTTTTGCATTTTTATATTTATTATAGATAGATGTACTTAAATGAGAAAAAATGTAAAGTAATAAATTTTATTTAATCATCGTAGTGATTATTTTTTTTTATTGTTCTTATTCCTTTTTTTCAAAATTTATACCCATTTTTCAATAAATATAATTAAAAATGAACTATTAAAATGAA